AGAACGAGTATATAGAGAGTCAATTTTGGCAATTTCACTTACACCGGATGATAAGTTTCCGGGACAAAGAGGACGATTGAAATGAGCATTACGCCTGTCCAAATAAGAAGCACGTAGAACGTCCAGCGCCTGAGAACACGTCGTACAAGCGTCAGCCACAGATATTCCAAAATAGACCGCTAGGTAGACATACCATGTGGTGAATTGATTTATGAACCCACCAATTCTGAGACTTATCAGTCATCGCAATGCAAACCCAACGGACAGCATTTTTAGCAATCGGGGCTGGTGACAAAACTCACAATGGTCCTACTTCAGGTCCAACAAAAGGTGAAGCCGTATACAGCATCATAGGTGCGCTCAGCTCATGGCGAGCAAACAAATCTCCTACCGTACCACCTGCAACGCTGAGGAACGCGCTCCCAGCGATGCCATTAAAAAAGCGGCATACGATCATGGTCTCAATATTCTTAGCCACAGCACAGGGAATGAGCCAGATCAAGAATATGGTGAATGAGGTAATATAGATGTATCTTCGGCCATAAAACTGAGGAGCATTAGCTAGGGCGATGAAGCCTGGCGTTGGGTATACAAACCTCTGATAGGGGCCCCAGAAACAGTGGGCCGATACCTGGGATGAGTAGAGGTCAGAAACTAGACACGGAAGCCAAGCAGTCTCCTGATGGCTGAGAGACCTACCAAGGCCCCATATAAAGAACGATAGCCCGAGCGTTGCGATCAAGCGAGAACAGTTGAATTCATCTGTTATCTGGTCGTAGGTAGCGGTATACATCGACGAGGTGCAAGTCCTTTCGACGAGGCATCAGCACTACAAAAGGCAACGATATAGCAGTTGCCCACTACTCACACACAAAGAGAGCCCAGAGAGCAAATGACAACAATCAACCACCGCCTCATGGTATTGAAGTTCCGAGGATTCATCGGGTCATTCTCGTCCCAGCTAACAATAAAAGTAGACGATTCATCTACCTCGCCCCCGTCATTGCAAGGAGCATTTCCTGCGGCTTCTTCATCCGCGGTATGGCAGCTGTATCCATCATTCAAAGACCAGCTGCGTTCGATGGGACGTGAGTTGGTGGAGTGCAGCTTCTGCATCCGCTCTTCGTCGGCTGGGGGAGCCTGAATTGGTGCAAATGTGCCGTCTATATCTTCATCTGATCTCATCTTCTCAAGCTCATCTGCCTCGCTCCTCTCACCGCTTGTAGAGTGCCTAGCTGAATCCACATCGGTACTTTCAGCTTGCCTAAGGGGCGATACCGCCCGCTGTGACGCAGTCATGATCGAGTAGTGAGGTAGAGCCTTCTCATGTAGTTTTTCGCTAATGCTATGGGAGATAATGAAAATATGAAAGCTATGTAATAGTCTCGATTGTGTAACGAATGATCGCCTCAAACACCAAGGTAAACCAGATTGGCTGCTTTCAAATAATTGGATGCTGGCAATAATCACTCCGGTGAGGGCAAGGCCGAGTCACGCCCTAAGCAGTACTTGCTTTATAGGACCTTTGGAGAAATTGACCGAAAAAATGAGATTCGGAGAGGAACCGAGGGTTACAATAAGTATCCAGTGTGATAATTGAACGAGATAAAGCCTGCAAAGTCAAGCAATTATTAGTCACATTTGGGAGGATTGTACTAAGTACATAAATCGTTTAGCCTAGTTCTTGCTGATCAATCTTGATTTTATCATACTAACTAGTCTGGTCGGCTTTTTCCTCAGCCGATTGCCACAGCATTATCAGTGGAGACAGACCAAAGCTATATAATACATATCCTTTTTTTCTTCGTTGCAACCGGGGGAGAGCATATGTATGAACTATTAAACGGCAACTCGGTCTTTCCCAGTTTTATTTAGTCTTCTTTTTCTTTCCCCCATTTCATTGCCTTGTCATTGTCCTCCGGTTCTATTTCAACATAGTCCAGGATCTTGGAGATCATTTAAGTTTTTGATAGAGAAGTATACCAAGTATGGAAAAATTCCCCGATGTGTCACCACCCCACGTGCAACACACCTATTACAAGCCTCGTAATGGATCATACAGATCTCAGTTGTTCGCTTCTATACCTAAACCTATGTGAAGAAAATAAGAAAAAAAACCCCTTAAGTATCGTCGTCCCTAGAAGCCCGTCCACAATAATAACAATAATAAATAAAAATTGAAAAGAAAGACCAACTTTCCAGCTTTGGAACGAGGACCCAAAAAGTCATTCAATAGCCACCTTTTCAATCCAAACGACAACTCCATGACACCAGTGTTTCATTACATGAATAATTTCCCGCATCCAGATAACAAGCCCTCCAGGGAACCCCAACCAAATAGAAAAAGGGAGCAGAAAAGAACAGAAGAGGAGAGAAACAACGGGAGAAACGAATAGACCACTCGAGCACAACTTCCTGTACAGAAACACACCTGACACCTTCATAGGCCCAAATATCTAAAGTTCACCGCTCTAAGCTACCACCTGGGAAGGTTGAGTGCCTACTTCCCCATTGGCGCTCTCTTCAGCCCATGAACCCCAGAGAGCACGCTTGCCGCGGATTTTGAGAGGGCCACCAACGGTATCGGGGCGTTGTTCAACCTGGACGGCGTCCTTTGTGGCCAAGACCAAAACCTCAAAAAACATTTTCGTCGCATCCGCCTTGGAGGCCTTGCGTTCGGGTAGAAGATCCTGGAACTTCACGCTCTTCTTCTGTTCCACTGCAGATTCACCCAGACAGTCGCGGAGAATGTGAACAGCATGCTTGGTACCAACGGAGACAGGGCCACTGTCCGCAGGTTGGATTGTGTCATCGAGATCTTCCAGGGGATGATTCAATCCCTCATCGTCACTCAGATGCAAAACTTGATCATCGTCATCACCGGGGAATTCGATATCAGACCGCTGATGAAGCGTCGAGTCAAGGCCAACACCTTCATCGATCGGCACGATGGCTTCTTCTTCGCCAAATTCCAAAGCAGGGGCGGCAGCTGCCTCGATGTCCATGTCTGCAATCCCGCTATCACGCTTCCTCTTGAGCTCACCAGCCTTCTTGATGGCATCAAAGGAGAGCAAGTCACGAAGCTCTGGAGCCCATCCACGTCCGCGACCACCTCCCAGCACATTCGTCACAAAGTCGCCGTTCTTTTGCATATCCATGAGAGTGAGCAGAACAGGATCACGAGGCAGGAAGGACGTCGGCTTCAAGATAGTGGAGCGGTCCGCCTGTAACCCCTTGATTATCTGGGCCTTGTAATCGGTTACCTTGTCGAGCTCCACGGTCATTACCTTCCGTCGCTTCGCGCGCTGCGAGTGTTGGGCAGTCGCGTCATCATCTGCCGCTCCCTCGTCCTGGTCCTGGTCTTCACCCTGCTCTTGTTGGAGTTTCTCCATGTCTGCGTCTGGCATCTCTGAGAGGACGCTCATAGATTCACGCTCGGACCTGCGCTCGTCGGCATCAAATGCCAGTTCTCCGTCATCACCAAGATCCATGGCAGTATCGTCCGCCTGCAAAAGAGTGTCTTGTGGGCCCTCGTAGGCCAGGTCCATCTTGTCCAAGGGAGCATCATCCTCGCCAAGGTCCAGAGGCAGATCAACATCATTGAACTTGCCAGCATCGCTAAAAAGATCTTCTTCGACGGGGCGAGGTGCTGGCGCATCTCGACCCACTTCCATACTGAAGTCATGTCCCAAGGGTGTATCATCCTCTCCCAAGTCAAGGTCAACCAAGGTATGGTCTTCAAGGCGCGCAGGCTCCTGTGACACAGAGCGCCGAAGACTACTGTCTGGGAAGAGCTGGCTGCCAAAGTCCATCGATGTTCCTGGGCGCTTACCTTCCGGCTCAAAACTGAGCGGCTGAGGTAAGAGCAAAGAAGAATCTAGGTTCATGAAAAGGTCGGACTCTGTAAGCACATCGGGCAAAGTAATACCCCCTGGGGCAACAACAGTGGTTGTCAAGTCATTGTTATTAGTCAAGCGGAAAGCCTATATATTATTGCTTTAGCGTCGTTTGTGTAAAAAGCATCATTCACCCGAGCATACCATTTTGATCTTCATGAGAGCCTCATTGCAGTCATCCAACAGGTAGCGAGCCTTTCGGCTATAAATCCGGACCACACCTAACAGCAACTGACCGCTCAATCGCAAAGCCATTGGAGCTTGTCCTTGATCGACAATAGCACTGACACTGCTCTCGATATCCGACTGTAAAATGTGCGATTTGGAAAGTTTGCGCTCCAAGTTAGCCGATAACCAAACGCGGGCCAGTGGCCCGGTTTTTGACAAGAGGGTCTCCGAGTAGAACATGGCGTCACGATGTAGTATATGAAAAGATATTAGAAATGATTATTCCAAGAGGTATAAGCCCGCCTAATGCGGGGGTAGTTCGCAAGAAGTCCCTAGCAACCAAATGCGATAACGCGCTGTATCCAGAAAACAAAAAGATCGGCGACTGATGCGTCCTCCCCCTAAGACCGAAAGGGGTTATAAACCCGGAGACAACAAGATGGGTTGCTATATCTGACGATAAGGATTATCGCAATGCAAATAAATTCACCGAGTCCGGAGGTTGAAGAGGGGTGCACGAAAGGAGGGGTGGTTGGGTGGATTGCGATGACTGTGGTGTGGTTTTCGCAAGTGAAGGGAAACAAGAGAAAGAGAGGGAGGGCGCGTCTGGCGGGCGGGTTGATGGGCAGCCTCCACTGGCAACGGGTTGCGGCGGGCAGCACTAGGCGAATGCACAATGCTGATTGGGTGTTTAGTTACGTGGCTGGGGTCACGTGCTAAAAGGTCACTTTTTCTGGGAAGAGCCAAGCGTCACGTGGCTCAAACGAAATGATGTAGGCACTCAGTAGTACTGAAGATGGAAAGTAAAAGAGCTTAGCTGATATACGGAGTGTACAATTTTGCTGTGTGCATGTACAATCAGCATAATCAACCTTTCCTTACGGAGGACCATAGAAAGGAAGAAAGCACAAAGTACAGTCAAGAAAAGCAAAAAATCTCCCCGACTGGGAATCGAACCCAGGTCTCCCGCGCTTGTTCCTTGGTATGGGATGACAAGCGGAAATCATGACCACTAGACCATCGAGGAATTATTGGTAGAATTTAAGGTAAATTGATATTATTATTTACAAAATTGTACTCCACCTCAAGCTTTCTCACATCATGAGCGGTGAACAAAGGCAGTATATTTCCGGCAAAGTTGTCCTGACATTTTTATGGACAACTCCCCCTTAAATACCTAAATGATGGCGTGGAATTCACAGAACTACGGTGATAGAGTCAGTTACGATATCAATTCAAGAAGCTCAGGTGTGGGTGACTGTTGAGGTAGGCACATTAGTATAGTTACATAGGCTCCATAGTGCACCCACGCTAAAACGCGTGACCGCCAAGAGTAACCCCTTCGCTAGGAACAATGATAATTGCCTGCATACAATGTGTTCTCTCCGCAATTGAGCATACAGTTGGTTTTTTTAATTCAACATCCAAATATTGATCGACGCGGCCCTCCCCTGAGAGCGTCGTCTTTGGTGGGACCTGGAGGTCTAGCCTTGTCTCTTCTCTAAAACCGGCTGCACGGCCCTTGTCTGGTTTCCACTTAGTCTCCCCATATTATTCGATACACTTGCGGCCGAAGTCGCGTCTGAGAACGTGGCTTCTACGTATTTTATTTTTTTTTTTACTCTTTGTCTTTGCAAAATCTTGTCCACCTCGACTTTTCCCCTGATCCCGACGGGATGATAACCATTGTGAGCTCGATCTAGCAGGACATCTTTGGACAGAAAAGCATGAGAGATGTCAAGGTCCGCAACGCCTGCGCTACCTTTGCATAATGCTCAGGCCCCCGATTTGAGGCCTCCATCATCTACGCCGACGGGTGTGCGCTCCAACACATCTACTTCAGTAAGTCTCGCTGTAAGGCAGATCCAGTTGATTTGCGCTGCACTTGCGCTTTCAATTGGCTTCCTTTGGGTGTGTGGTCGCTAATTCTTAAATTCATTAACTAGACATCCACATCGACTTACTCTCTATTAGACCCACAGGAAACCGCTGAGCGCCTACAGACATCCCTTACCCACGGACTCACTCCTGCAGAAGCTGAGATTCGTTTAATACAAGATGGGCCCAACGAACTGCCGCATGAAGACCCCGAGCCTCTGTGGCTCCGGTTTCTTAAACAATTCCGGGAGACATTAATTCTACTGCTTCTAGCGTCAGCTGCAGTCTCTTTCTTCATGGGCAATCTTGATGATGCGGTAAGCATCACGCTCGCGGTAACCATCGTAGTCACCGTCGGATTTGTTCAGGAGTATCGATCGGAAAAGTCCTTGGAGGCCTTGAGCCGCCTGGTGCCACATCATGCGCATTTGATACGCGATGTTCCTCTCTCACATACCCCCCCTATCGGGCACTCGATCCCTGCAGCTACCAGTGAAGAGTTCGAGCTGCAAGATCTCAGAAGCAAAAGCCCGGGCTCGGTTTCAGCCGCTGTTAAAGCTTCCAGTACTGTTCCGGCGAATGAGCTAGTACCTGGTGACCTGGTTTTGTTTACAGTTGGAGACCGTATTCCGGCGGACATACGCATTACTGCAGCCACTGATTTGGCCATCGATGAATCAAACCTAACTGGTGAGAACGAGCCTGTTGCTAAATCGCCTGCCGCAATTCGCGGCCCCAAGGCTCTGGCCTCACACTCGCCCAAAATTGTCACCCCTCCCCGATCTCCATTCTACGATGCCCCAGCCAGTGGCGCTGTGGGCGCTGATATCCGCTTAAATGAGCAGCACAACATCGCATTTATGGGAACTTTGGTTCGGTCGGGGTATGGACAGGGTATTGTCATAGGAACGGGTGCGAAAACTGAATTTGGCAGTATTTCAGCTTCTTTGCAGGAAATCGAGAGCCCACGCACACCGCTTCAATTGTCGATGGACCGTCTTGGTCAAGAACTGAGCTATGTCTCCTTTGGCGTCATCGGATTGATTGTAGTGATAGGATTGATACAAGGTCGAAAGCTCCTTGATATGTTCACGATTGGTGTCTCACTTGCAGTCGCTGCGATTCCAGAAGGTCTTCCCATTATCGTGACGGTTACTCTTGCTTTAGGCGTGCTGCGCATGGCCAAGAGGGGGGCCATCATGCGAAGACTCCCCAGCGTCGAGACGCTCGGCTCTGTGAACGTTGTATGCAGTGATAAGACAGGAACCCTAACGCTCAATCATATGACAGTCACAAAGATGTGGCATTTCGACTGTCCGGAGCCATTTGAGGTGCACAACGATATTAGCTCACTGACGCCTGGGCCTGCAGCTCGGACCGTTCTTCGTGTCGGTAATATCGCTAATAACGCTAGACTTTCGCGCGTGCATGCAAATTCACCTGCCAGTGCCTCTTCTGCTGCAGTGTTGTCTTCCACTGATGATAGGGCTCCGGGAACCATTAGGAGTAGGTGGGTTGGGCAACCCACTGACGTCGCTATCCTGGATCTGTTGGACACTTTTGGGGAGGATGATGTGCGCGACCGTATCAGTACTCGCGCCTCCGAGACTCCCTTCAGCTCCGAGCGCAAGTGGATGGGTGTGATTATTGGCAATGGCACTGGCGAGTCAAGCAACATGGCCTACATTAAAGGTGCTCTCGAGCAGGTTTTAAAACGTTGTGATACGTATCTTACAAAGGATGGACGAGAAGTTATACTGGATGAACCGCGACGTCAAACAGTGAGGCAGGCTGCTGAGCATATGGCATCAGAGGGTCTAAGGGTGCTCGCTTTCGCCAGTGGAGCAGTGCGAGATACATCAGAAGGGCGACCTTTTGGCAGCAGGACAGGCACTCCTGTTTCTAGAACTACCCCGGGTGAGGAAGATGATCGATATACCGGCCTGGTTTTTGCAGGACTTGTGGGGATGAACGACCCTCCCCGTAAGGATGTTCACAAATCCATCAGGCGCCTTATGGCTGGAGGAGTACGAATCATCATGATCACAGGAGACGCTGAGACTACGGCAGTTGCGATTGCAAAGAAACTGGGAATGCCAATCAGTAATATAGCCGGTTCGCGACCTGTCCTTACTGGTGAGGAGATCGACCGTATGAGCACCACGGAGTTGGCGCAGGCCATATCCTCCACATCCATTTTCGCCCGCACAAGCCCTGACCACAAGATGAAGATTGTACGCGCTTTGCAGTCCCGAGGAGATGTGGTGGCCATGACGGGTGATGGTGTGAATGATGCACCAGCCCTCAAGAAAGCAGATATTGGTATCTCGATGGGTAAATTGGGCACGGACGTTGCCAAGGAGGCAGCAGACATGATCCTGACAGACGATGACTTCTCCACAATCCTGCGAGCCATTGAGCAGGGCAAGGGGATCTTCTACAATATTCAGAACTTCATTACATTCCAGCTAAGCACCAGCGTTGCTGCATTGAGTCTTGTATTGTTAAGCACTACTCTTGGCTTCAAGAATCCGCTGAATCCGATGCAGATCCTATGGATCAGTAAGTTAATGACAACACCGAGCATTGGGCAGTTGATAGCTGACATTCATCAACAGATATTCTTATGGATGGCCCTCCAGCGCAGTCCTTGGGTGTAGAGCCCGTTGATCCGTCAATCATGGGACGACCCCCACGACCCAGAACGGCTCGGGTACTGACGAAGCCTCTCATTCAACGGGTGCTAACTTCCGCATTGATGATTATGCTGGGCACGCTTGCCATTTACGTCTACGAAATGGGCGATGTCGACGATGAGCTGAACCCGGGCAAACGCTCGCGCGTCGTAACCGCCCACGACACAACCATGACTTTTACCTGCTTTGTGCTCTTCGACATGTTCAACGCCTTGACCTGCCGCAGCGAGGGTAAGTCGGTGCTTCGCGGCGAGATCTCCCTGTTCGGGAACAAGATGTTCAATTACGCCGTCCTCGGATCACTTGCCGGGCAGGCGTGTGTGATCTATCTGCCTTTCCTACAGCGGGTCTTCCAGACGGAGCCGCTCAATCTGGCACATCTGTTTAAGCTATTGTGTATTTCGAGTTCAGTGTTTTGGGTAGACGAGGCCCGGAAGTATTATCAATCGGTGAAACGGCGGCGGGCCGTTGGGGTGGGATACAGCGTAAATGTCTAAGGGGCCGAGTTGATATATGCTTTGTACTAGTTGTATAGAGGAAACATCATAGAGAACTACTATTCCCGCGAGACACCTGAACATTGCTTATGTTGTAACAGCTGACAGCTCATGTAGTTGGTTTTTGGAAACGGGTGTATTGGAAAAGGCGTTGACTCGGAACGAGAAACACAAAAGGGCGGGGAGGGACAAGTATGGGAGGATCAAAATATATGTCTATTTGAGACCCAGGCAACAAAAAAGTTGACCGACGCAGGGCTCGACTGGGGTCTCCTGATTCGTAGTCCAGCGCCTTACCATTGGGCCAGCCAGCCAAGATAAGCCGAGGCTGCCCTCGATTCCTGTATTATATATATAACTTGAGGAAATTGCTCGGTGGTAGACATCCGCTTACCCCGTAGTCGATGGTCACATTCGGGAATACAATTGCCATCATCAATGTTTTGGTCGAAAGAACACACTGTATGCATGAAAAGTGCAGTCGGCCTGCGGCGTATATATATTCCCAGTATGTTCGAGTACACCGGTAAAGTCGATGATGCAAGACAACGCATAAGTTTGACACGATGGGCCCCACACACGAGTCTCGGTGACGGTAAACATTAAAAGCTAACTGTAGTTACACTGACGTTGCTAATCCGCCGGTAGGAGTCCTATAGTAGTAGTAGTAGTAGTAGTAGTAGTAGTAGTAGTAGTAGTAGTAGTAGTAGTAGTAGACAGGTAGGGTCTACCTGGTGCATATATCCCTCAGGTAGTACTAGTAGCAACCCCCACCCAGCCGCATTGCAGGTTCGACACACGGATCATGTTAGGGGTGGAACAAAGGGGCTAGTCGGTAGCGATCTCTAGTTCCCATGGGCATTCCATAGCACAAACCAGTGACTACAGGTGAAACACAAGCGCATCATATCGATACATTATAGGGGGATACAGCACACCTAGCTTGCAGGAAGGGG